CATAAGCATTGCAAACATAAGTGTACAATACTTCCGGTGATAATGAAAATGCTCAATTAGTTTTATGAAATCAGAAATGGCATAAGGCGTCACATGGTGAAAATGTTATGTAAATCGTATAATAATTGCCACTTTTATAGACCAAAAACCTTGAAAAGTGACTTGTAGAAAACCGTCTAATTCTCTGCAACCGTACAAGTTAGAAACCATTTTCTGGTATCTGTATGATCGTATGGGTTCAATCTATTTGTTGATTGGAATCAAATGTCGTAATTTTAAAAACATTACAAATCAGACTCATTTGAATAAAATATCTGTTTTGAAGGCTAAAAATAAAGTTTTTGCAAAAATGACGCTACTTCCGGTGATAATGTATGAAATCGTAAATGGCATTAGGTATCACACTGTAAAAATTTTATAAAAATCGAATAATAATTGACACTTTTATGCACCAAAAACCTTGAAAAGCTACCTGTTGAAAATCGTCTATTTCTCCGCAACTGAACAAGGTAGAAACCATTTTGTGATATCTGTATGATCGTATGGGTTCATTCTATTAGTTGATTTGAATCAAATATCAAAATTTTAAACAAATAACAAATGCGACTCATCCGGTGATAATGAAAATGTTCAATTAGTTTTATGAAATCAGAAATGGCATAAGGCATCACAAGGTGAAAATGTTATGTAAATCGAATAATAATTGTCACTTTTATAGACCAAAAACCTTGAAAAGTGACTTGTAGAAAACCGTCTAATTCTCTGCAACCGTACAATTTAGAAACCATTTTCTGGTATCTGTATGGTCGTATGGGTTCAATCTATTTGTTGATTGGAATCAAATATCGTAATTTTAAAAACATTACAAATCACACTCATTTGAATAAAATATCTGTTTTGAAGGCTAAAAATACAGTTTTTGCAAAAATGACGCTACTTCCGGTGATAATGAAAATCTTGTATGAAATCGTAAATGGCATTAGGTATCACACTGTAAAAATTTTATAAAAATCGAATAATAATTGACACTTTTATGCACCAAAAACCTTGAAAAGTTACCTGTTGAAAATCGTCTATTTCTCCGCAACTGAACAAGGTAGAAACCATTTTGTGATATATGTATGATCGTATGGGTTCATTCTATTAGTTGATTTGAATCAAATATCAAAATTTTTAACAAATAACAAATGCGACTCATTAGAATAAATTATTTGTTTCGAAGGCTATAAATACAGTTTTTACCCAAATTACGTCATTTCCGGTGACACTGACAATGTTAAATTGGTTTGACCTAGTTAAAATTGACATTAAGCATCAAATGGTGTCACTTTTATGAAAATCCAATAATAATTGACTCTTTTACAGGCAAACTAGCGTAAATAGCCACTCATGCCAAAATGACGTTACTTCCGGTCATAATGAAAATCTTAAATTACTTGTATGAAATTGTAAATTGCATTAGGTATCACACAGTGAAAATTTTATGAAAATCGAATAATAATTGACACTTTTATGGACCAAAAACCTGGAAAAGTGACCTGTTGAAAATAGCCTATTTCTCCACATCTGAACAAATTAGAAACAATTTTGTGAAATCTATATGACCGTATCAATTTTATTAATATGTGAATGTAAACCAAAAGTTAAAATTATTAATGCATATTAAATAATTTTTGGTTGAAAAAATATTAATTTTAAAAGTTACAAATGCATTTTTTGACAAAATGGCGTCACTTCCGGTGTCAATTTTAAATTGTAAATTAAATTGTTGATACGACGCATAGTTGCTTTTTGAATCAAATGGTGTCACTTTTGTGAAAATCCAATAATAATTGACTATTTTACAGGCAAACTAACGAAAACAGTGACTTATGCAAAATTGCACATTTCTAGGTAACTGCTTATATTACAAACTACTTTTAACATACATTTTCTTCGTATGGATTATAGCTACAAGTTTATAAAAGTTACGTAGAAATATTTTAAAATCTGAAAAGCCTGAATGGGTTGTAAATAGGTCAATTTTACACATTTTTTCACCTCTTAATCGAATTTGCTCGAAAATGAAATCGAAATTAAAGGGCACACTCTTTTAGTTATATCAGTTTTTTTAAAAAAAAAATAAACAGTCGTTAAACGTATACTTTAAAACAGCAGGTCATACTAGCGTAGCTTTACTGGTATTCAAAAAAGACATCATGTAGACAAAAGATATGCAATATAAGTTTGATGACAAATGACTTCACGACTTCAAAAAAACTGAGAACAAAAATTAAATGTCCAACACTGGGATCGAGCTGGTGGCATGCTTACTGAGCTACGTAGACTAACTGATCCAGTCATATAAATTCGATGGCAAACAATTACATACTTAATTAACTTATTTTCACTGTAGAAGCCAAAAACACATATTTTGGTAAGCATTTGGTAAGCATAACCAATATTAAAGGCGCTGTGTCAAAATCTATCACATTAATATGTTGCACAGAACATTTGTTCACATTTGTATTGTTGATAAAAATTTAAGAATATGCATCAAATGACTCAATTTATCGTTTGCCATTGACATTTTACCAGATTTCAAAGTTTTGCACTATTTTAAAAAGAAATTCAATTTTATGACATTACTTTAAAAAAATCTAGGTCTAATATCAAAATTCTCAACGTGCCGATCGATTGCGAACTGTGAATGTTTTTCAAATATATGACGATATTGAAAATTGGATAAGAATTGTAGCACGAGTAGGATTTTAAAGATTAACTTACATTTTCAAAATGGTGGCACTTCCGTTGGATTTTAACTTGATGAGATTACTCTAAAAAGTTGATAGACGACTCGTATTGACAAATATTTTTAAATAATGCAAAAAAAAAAAAAGAAGTTCAAAAGCTGACTTTATCTAAATATCTGAAAAATCGGTTGAGAATTAACAGAATTATGGACGATGCACATTTCCGTCATGCGCACAAATTTCATTTTACATTTAAGTACTAACCACCACCCATTTTCACGAGATAAAAACAAACCCCTAATAAAAAAGTAATAATAACAAGATCTCCGAAGGAGTACTGGCGTGTTTCGGTACGTCAAGTCACGCCAGGTCACGCCTTGTCACTTCAGCAATCAAGTTACACCATGAATGATTGAGTAGAGTAACACCCTGTGCCTATTAAAGTGGAAAAACCCGTCACTTTGAACTCTTAATAAAGAAGGAAGTTATACCTGAAGACCAAACCTTTTGATATTAACCGTTAGTTGAAACCAGGGCCGTCATAATTATATGCAAAGATGAAGGGTCATTGAAAGGTTAGGTCACCAGATAGAAGGTCAAAATTCAAAGTGAAACCGGAAGTAAGCGAAATCGAAATTCAAAAATCGGCTCCCTAAGGATTGGAATAGGTTCAAAACAATACAAAGGTGGAGGTAAATTGTAAAATCCAATGTGGCGGCCAAACGGTTTTGGTCTATTTTAAAAATGGAGAGAACCATTCATGTTCTGAAAATATCGGAAGGCCTCGGTAATTTCCGGAAGTTTCCTGGAGCCTTCACAAAATCTGTTAATATGCTATTTTGCAGGCTTCAATGTTCACTGGAAAAGTGTCTGGCGAAATGTCTTTCTGTGTTTTAAAGATCCTAAAATGGTCGAATTGGATTATAACATAGCCTACTCTTCAAAAAATTTAGGGGATATTGAGATGCAAATACCTTTGCAGGTTGTGATATGATAAATAGTCATGGGCACTTGACATGCTTTGAGAGTATGTTCACAGATGAAGAACTTCCCAACAGAACCACTGAGCTGCACATGCGACACGCAATAGCGCCATACACATGGGAGGGGTTCATTGTCAAATTTGAGAGTGGAATCCTTGCAACACATTGCTTCGACCCACAATTCACTTAGGCGGGGGCAGATTGGCCCACTCTGATCAGTCAGCTTTGGTCATGTTTAATTGACGAGTAGGCTATTTGTAGCAATTCTACCTCTACGCTCTTGAATGCCTTCTGAGGAGTGGATTCATATAAAACTGTCCTTTCAACTTGATTTTCGATATTGGCCAATATCCACAATTAAGGCAGTTTTATGTGATTCGACTGCTCAGTCACTGCTCATCCATCTTCATTGATGATTTTGTTTAGATTTTTTGAGATGCTAAACTGAATATTGAAAAACGAACTACATGTACTTGTTTTTCGTTATTCGCCAACATCGAAAATTAAAGAGAAAACTTAGTGTTTATGTGAATCCACAGCTTAGGCATCATACATAATTTTGTCTGTTAGTTTTACAAAATTGATTGAATGAATGACTTTCTTAGTTACTCTCTGTATTATAATACTAGATTCTGCTAATTTGAGATTCACATCTGAATATCTAAAATTGAGTAAATATTTGTTTCTCCGCTACTATCACAGAGAGTGATGACATGTTTTTTTCTCCACTTCAGTAGGTAGCCCGGTTGATGTGATTATATTCAATACCGCATGATTGCTGACGTGACCTAACTTGATAAGAACGTGACACGACTCGGTATTACGTTATGGCGTGACATAGTGATGTAGTTCGATATTATTACAGTGTTATTTAAAATGTTATTTCTATACTTAAAAGAAGATCATAGAAACCTTTACCCAATCTATCGCTATTTTTACGATTCTCCAGTTGACACATCTCGCTGTTCTAGTTAAAAGTTGTATCTCCTTTATCCAATTTGTGATTTATTTTACCATGCACATCATTTTATGTTAATATTCCAAATAATTTGATTTAATATTCAAAATAACACTTCCCGGTTCTTATATTTCTATAATTGAAACTCCATTTGCATATCATTTTGTTTTAAAATATCATTTTCATTTAAAATACCAAATAACACTTTTCAGTTCTTCTATATAATTTAAATAATAAAATGCTTTATGGACCGAAAGTCCATTTGCATATTTTAGAACTCATAGAATAAAAACAATCGTTCTAAACCGAGGATATTATATGTTAAAGATTGACTGGGCGGCACAGATGAAGTACGAATTTAAAAGTATAACTGGTGCTTCTAAAGTTATACTTTATAAGAAAGAATTTATTTATGGCTTAAGCAATCTGATTACCAATCTACCCTCGGCAGATAAAACAAGGTAAGTATAACATACATGTACATATAATTGGCATTATTTGATAACCATTTTGGCCGTATTCAACCTAGGTAGTTATGTGACCGAACGTTACATTCCCGTTTCTCTTACATCTGATCTCTGAAGTTATACTGCCGAGGTTATATGCTGCAAGCGAAAATTACTGCTAAACTGCCAACCAGATTATGAAGTTTTACTCCCTTGGCATTATTTTCCTTTAAACTGAACTTAAGATCATGTGCATAGATTGATCTTTAGTGTGATATGAGAGTCCGTTTATAGGGAATTGTAATACCTAAATTATGCCTGTGGCTCTGATTGGCTTAGAGATTACATAGTGCAGCAGAAAATGCATAAAAACAGGGACAAACAAGGGGTTGCCATGCAAGATATGGCCACATTTTGCACGAGATGCACAGAGAATAGGGAAAAATCAATAGGGCTAATCATCTCATTGATTGTCCCAATGCTTCACATCGAATTTGAATAAAAGAAAAAAGTTGAAAACTGATTCAAGATTTACTATTATAATTTAGTACACATTATATAATACACGTGCTGACAAAAATCAGTTTTAAAAATATAGTTCTCATTGGTCATGGCTTTTGTATAGTTTTAGGGAACTAGCCCAAATTGGGGAAATGAACAGTGATAAAAATATACATTGCTTAATATGTTGATTACTTAATATTCTCCAGTCTACTGTGTATTAACAAAATAACTCACAGTGAATAAACCTCATGTTGTAAGATACAGTGTTTCAATAGTGTTCATTAAAAACACAAATATAAATTTGTTTGTTCTGCAATACAAGTGTGTTTTCTAAATAATTCAATGTGAATTAACAACCCAGTCTATATTAATACTGTAAAAAAAACAACACAACAAACTTGTGTTGAATGTCAAATCAACACACATTTATGTTATATTTTAGAAAATAACACAAGCGTGTGTTGAAACTTGTGTGGGAAATCAGCACCATCACTTGTCTCAAAATTTAAACAAATTTGTGATGTCGCATGGTATAACTTGTGTTGTTTCCATACATAAAGCGGTGGACACACTAGCCGAATGATTCGGCCGAATATATCAAACCTGTTTGATTTGGGCGAATCGTTCGGCCGAATCAATCGGCGTCGAAATTCGCCTAGTGTGTCCACTGTCATTCGGCCGAATGATTCGCCCGAATCAAACAGGTTTGATATATTCGGGCGAATTATATTCGCCTGGTGTGTCCGCTTCGCCAAAGCATTCGGCCGAATAAAGAATTCATTAGCCAATCACCACTCATCGAGAAGTCACGTGATAGATTGAAGACATAGACGCCGCCATGTTTAATCATGTGACGTGAAAGGTGATGCAATCGGCAGGTTGAATCGGGCGAAGCATTCGGCTAGTGTGTCCACCCATTCGGCCGAATAAAATTCGGCGCCGATTGATTCGGCCGAAGGATTCGGCTAATGTGTCCACTGCTTAAACTTGGACTGTATTTCCCCATTCTATATCCAGTATAGCTACCCCTCCCTGGCCCCTATGCTGTACCCTTTAATTTGTTGTGGTTGACCTACAATGTTTTATAAATAACATAGCAAGATATTATAAAATTATTATTTGTTCATTAAATTAACACACACACACAATAGTAGTTATAGTACGTACAAGATACTTCCATACGGAGTTTAAATTGAGTGTAGGGTCATCTAGTTTTCTAGAAATTACCGAATTGTCCTTCTCACGCATTCCCTTTAAGAAAAGAATAACACAGAGAACGCCAAAAAAAAGTCAAGCAATATTCATTTGAGAAGATTATGAATTAAAACGGACCACATTCCTCCGTACATAAAAGATCACTAATGGTTAAGATACAAGCAAAATAATTATAGATTGATAAAATAAATAAAGCATAAAAAGTACAGAAAATGGAGAAAAATAAAAATATGTACCAAATATTGGTGAGTAAGACCATTTCATATTACAAAGGCATTGACATTTGAGAGTTTCATCAATTGTTAAAAAATAAAGGTTAATTTCATCATCCAATAATACATCAGGGCATTTTACTAGCTCAATATACTTTACTCTAGGTCAGCGCTTGATTTTTTACAATTATCGACAGTTACTATGAATTATTAATTAATTTCTTGATAATGCCTCTTTAATTTCCAAGTTTTCAGGCCAAATTCTTAGTGTTTAGGGTTACACTGCAGTGTAAAACAATATCTAGAGGGGCGTGATATACGACATTTTAAAACCCCAGCAATTAAAGAAAGCAATGGCGGCAGGTAACTTTTGAGTTACCACAATCAGAGTTTTATTTTCAGATTTATAAAAGAATTTAATGTTTACTAAATACCTCTCCAGGGTATAAAAGGGGTGATTATAAGTAGACTTATAGACAAACTGAGTCTCGATTTGGTTTTTGCTTGGCATACCAAGTATTTTAGTAACGCAGCATTATTGTCTACTCCTCTTTCAAATTGCTATGGAATCTTTTACATGCATCACTAGTTTGCACACTGAAACAAATGACCAATTTGATGTCAGTCTCACAAGCATATTAAGAATCTAGAACCACACCAAGCAATTATCTAAACAGCTATGCCAAGTTTACATCTGTTTCTGCTGATAACACACCCGCTTCTTTACAAGCAAAATAAACTAATAGCAAGTGCATATATTCCATAGAATGCATGACACTCGGACCAAAACAGAAGACTACTCGGAGCAAGACAGAAAACAGCTCGGACCAAAATAGAAGAACGCTCGGACCAATGTTTTTGAAATAATAAAGTGTTGTTTTAATAAAATGATAATTGTGTTTGTTTTAAAACAATTGTTTTCTTTGTAGGCTACTTACTCGTGTTATTATCTCATCATGATTTAAAAAAGTATTTATTCAGAATTCTTATATACAATCATAGAGGGAATAATATGAATAAGTTGGATACAGTAACAAGCAACTTAATGCTTATATAAAACTGCTTCCAGAATGGAGTGACACGAATATAAATTTAATGATCAGCTGGTAATGTAATACAATGGGAATGATTATCAATATTAGGATTTTAGTTAACAATGAGATGACAGAGGTATATAAATAAAAAGAAAAATAGTCAAAGGAAAAGAGAGAAAATCGGAAAAGTAACGGGTGCCCGAGTACAGATTTGGATAATAAAGTTGAGGACGCGATGCAAAAAAAAAAAAAACAAAAAAAAAACGCACCAACCTACTATAGTTTAATGGTACTGGTATACACATATCTCACATTTGACTGGATTACAGAGGCTAGGTCAGGGAAGTTTGTATGTACTCAGACAGTGAGTAAACGTTGTTCACAATATAAAATTTGAAGGGTAATTAAAAAGTGGCTCGTAGAGAATGATCGATTAAAATTTTTATTTCGGAGAATTGAAGCGTTTAGTCAAAGTAATATATTTGTGAACGACTGAGAGTAAACAGATATTTCTATTTTTAGAAAGACTGTCATTTCCAAATAAAAGTGAATTAATGTTCTTGTAATGGTAGTCCAATGTATCGATAGTGGATCTGCGTTGTTCTAAGAAGAGGCTACAATGAAAGAAGAAGTGTTCGCTAGATTCGCATTTGTTTCCGCACAGACAGGATGGGTCGTCAGATATATGCATAAGGTATTTATGATAATTTAAGTCGGATTTCGAATTACGTAATTTGGAGAGAATAATCTGGAGAGTCCTGTCGCCAAAGTTGAAGAGATCGTTGTGTTTAGGTTTACCGTATGCTTGTCTAATTTTAAATTTGAATGAAGAGATCGAGTCAGAAGTTTTGATGCTTTCGTCTAGACGATTCCACTCCAGTACTGACGATGGAAAAAACGAATTTTTATAAAGGTTGGATTTATAGATAATACTCATTAGATTGTTGGAGTTTCTGAGTTGATATGGTTGGCTTGACGCTATAGTTGGAGGTACTAAATCCAATAGAAACGACGGTGTTTGTATATTGATAATTTTGAAGAATAAAACCATTTTATGTTCGTAACGTCTTTGTTATGCGAAGTACCGCGAGGAAGGCCTGTAATGGTTCGAATGGCGTCTAAATGTAGAAATTCCAGCTGGTCACTTTTTTCTTTTGTGCAGTTATTCCACACGCAATCAGCGTAGTCGAAAAGTGGTAGGATAAAAGATTTGAAGATGATTTCAAGGGTTTTACGTTTAAGTCGATATTTTAATGAACGGAAGCAGTTAGTGGTTTTACTAATTTTAGTTATCATATGGTTAATGTGGGTATCCCAAGTACAGAAGTTATTGAAATATACGCCAAGGTGTTTATGGGTGTTAACATCAGTAAGAAGGACATTGTTGAAATTTAAGTTGAGAGAGGTGGGGGAAAGTTTTCTAGAGAAGGTAAGGCTGGTAGTTTTGGAAGGATTGAAAGTTACTTTCCATTTTAATGACCATTTGAAAATCGTTTCGAGGTCCGCGTTTAATTTATTTTGAGTAGAGATTTGGTTATCAATTATTACGAATAAAGAGGTGTCGTCAGCAAACAGGCGTATATTAGATGAAATATTATTTGTTAAATCATTTATATATAGGAGAAATAAAAGTGGACCAATTATCGAGCCTTGCGGAACACCGGCAGAAACATTTCTTGAGAATGATTTTTGACCATTAAGGACGACACATTGTTCGCGATCTTGTAGATAACTGGTAATTAATTTGTGAGTGTCATGGCGGATACCATAGTTATTTAGTTTGTGTAATAAGCCACGATGCCAAACTCTATCAAAAGCTTTACTAATATCGAAGAAGACAGATTTTACTTCGTGTCCCTCATCGAGAGCCTTACAAATATAGTTGTACATTTCCAGAAGTTGGTAAGTAGCAGAATTTTTAGCCAGAAATCCTGATTGATGGGGGGTAATGATCTTTTGACGGATGATGAAATTATAAATATGATTATAAATGATTCTTTCAAAGACTTTACCTAGAGAACTAAGGAGAGAAATTGGTCTGTAGTTTGTG